TAATACGTATAAAGTTATATCTAATTATCTGTTAAAACCCTAATAGGGTGCGCGTCTTGTCGCTATGTTATATTTTTCACGTTTTTCACTTTGTTTACTCGATTGATTTGCAGATAAATAACCACACCTGGTCTTAGAAGATCCCTTATTTTTGAACAAAGGCTATCGAACTTCCGTTTTAAGAAAAATTATACTTTTCAATCTAAACGGATTTTAAAATTAAAAAACATTTGTTTACCTTGACCAGTAAAACCACCACCAATGCTTTCATAGTCCCCATGAAGTTTAGCAAATGCCTTTTCGATTAGAGGAAGCCATACTTCATTTTGATTGGAAGATTTGCTTTATGCATAAAATATGTATTTATTAGTATCTACATGTTCCATGTTTATAAGAATTGTAAAATGTTGGACATACGCGAAAGTTAACTTCCATTTTCCATTTTCACTTTTTCCGTTAACAAAGATTTGGTCATCAACAATTGATGGCACCCATCTACCATCCTATTCAAAATTATATTGATAGTTATTTCTTTATGCATTTCCTTATATGATTATTTAATATTTAAAATTTTTTTATTACCTTAAAGAATATAAATCCATAAATCCCAACTTTTTCATCTCTTTCAACGCAAAGATTACTAAGTAGATATGGAATTTTTGAATCTACATTATCTTCTTTAACTACATCATCCTTTTTCTCGTGATGATTTTCAAGTAGATTTGGATTTTCTGAATCTACATTATCTTTATTTACATCATCCTTTTTTTTGTGACGATTTTCAAGTAGATTTGGATTTATAATAGCAGTTAAAGCAGCAATAAACCAACAATCATTAAGGTCGCCTTGCATAAGTGTATTGGCCTTTTCTTTTTCTTTAACATTTTCTTCAATAAAAAATTTTGGCTTTTTAAATATCGCTGGTAACCTTTTAACATTAGTAGCACTAAACGATACTTTCTTCGATCTATAAAGACATTCCTTTTTATTCACAAGGAGATCAAATTCTCTATCTCGAAATTTGCGATTTTGATTATGAATTGAACCTCCATCTTTATATTCTTTGGCAATCTATCCACGTTTTTGTAAATAAAATTAGCTGAATTGAAACACTAAAGTAATTAAAATTTTCTTTCACCTTTTTAACTCTTTCTTTAGTTTCCTTAATGACTGTTTCTAACTCAGACGTGACATCAGTAACTTCGGAGTTATTCCAAACGTTCTGACGGTTATTTTTTCTTTGATTCTCTTTACGATAAGCCATTTAATAAATGATACGGCTGATATTGAAATTGACTGATCTGAAATTTAGACCCACTGTATTTTAATATGAAATTCGCAATTTTTTTTGTTGCGTTTTTTTTAGCGTTATTTTCTTTTATGGAATTTATGAATTTCGGTCAACAAATATGATTGGGTTAGGATTTAGGGTTATTAATAAAAGGGTTATCAAGTCGAATTGTAGACGCATGTGTGTAATCTGATATTACAATTATTCATATAAGAGGCATGGACGTTATTTTGAAAACCGTGCCCTAAAAATATAACATAGCGACAAGACGCGCACCCTATTAGGGTTTTAACAGATAATTAGATATAACTTTATACGTATTA